TCTCGAGGCATCTAGACGACTATTCTTTTGTGTTCCTGATATAACCCCGCTGATATAACCCCGCTGCCACAGTGACTGCCAGTGCATGGTCTTGATCTTGATAACATTCGTGCTTTCATTTCAACTCTTGATTGCCCTTTAGCAGTCAGTAAGTGAGGCTGTCACTCTATCTCCCATTCTTATGACATTGAATTTTATTAAAGAGACATAGCCTAGAGTTTGAGAGGTTTGATTGACATATTCCACATGGCTGCCTTCCTTCAGTCACATAAACAGTGGACTGGAAGGGCTGATATCTTCCTTGAAGCAGGGGAAGAGCAGATATGAGAGAAAGAAGACAGGGAAAAGCCCAGGCACAGAAGTCTATGGCATCCACTTCTGATCCCTGAGATGGTATGCACACATCCCCCTCTCCCCCCCCTCTAGCATTTGCTAAACAGGGAACATTGATGACAGTAATTACATTGTTAACCCATTGCTTCAAATGAGGAGAGGACAGGAGTATTGGAAGGGCATTTTACCTCATTGTGTGTGTGTGTTTCTTTTTAATATATTTTATTGATTTTTCACAGAGAGGAAGAGAGAGGGATAGAGAGTTTTAAATATTGATCAGCTACCTCCTGGGAATGTGCCCGCAACCAAGGTACAAGCCCTTGACCAGAATCAATCCCAGGACCTTTCAGTCCGCAGGCTGATGCTCTAGCCACTGAGCCAAACCAGTTTTGACTTACCTTGTTTTGAATTCACAGAATAAAAACCCATACAAAGATATACAAGTATTATATTTATTAAGACCCAAGCTGAGAGCTACCTCGCCATCGCTTCTCTTATAATGATAGATGAGGCATGTTTTGGGACTCGTTATCAGCTTTTCAGGAAAAAAAATATGTCTGCAATTTTACGTAGTTGACAAATTTCAAATTCTCCAGATGGCAGCTTTAATATGTTTAATATGATTGTGCTGTTCAAAAATAGCAATAGAGTTATCTCTAGAGAAAGTCATTTGCTATGAGAAGGCAATACACTATGAAAGTAAGAACATTGCAAGCTATTTTTGCTACTTGGCTTTCACTGAGCTCTTGATGAATAAAAAGTCAGTATTGAACAAATAGCCAATGCTAATGATGAACTTAGCAACTGATTCTACCTAATTCCTAAAGTCCCTTATTAAATATAGTCAACAGAGTTTCTCATATGCGTTTCTGTGTGCTGGTAATGTTAGCCACATCGGGATGTTTTTGATTGTATGTACTTGCCACATGAGTAGACTTGGAAGTGGATCAGAACCAAATGCGTAGATCAATAGTTAGGGTGTTATTGAACAGCTACACCTGGTCCCTCTTGAGAGTTTTGAGAATTTCTGCCTTAAGAACCATTTCAGATATTAGCATATCTCATAATATAAGACTGATTCTGGAAGATAACATAAAAATTGTCTGATTCATCTCATCACATATTCCCAGTCCCACACACTCACTAGTACCTTAGGTATGCTTTTTGTTGCTCAGTACTTATAAAACATCATCAAAAGTCATATCTGAACATGACAAAAATGGATAATAAAGTCAGTCACATTAATGATCTAAAAAAAGAGTATAAAGCAAATATCTTTATAGATGCAGAAATAATTTATAAAGATCAGCCCCTATTTATATTTAAAAAGTAAAAAACCTCCTAAGTAATAGTAATGGAAGGGAACAGAATTCTTTGTGTAAAGCACCAAGTTATCTATCATAATAAAAACATAATATGCTGATTAGACCAGACATCCTTCTAGACAACCTTCCGGATGACCTTCCGGACGATGCCAGGGCTGCGAGGGAAGCCCGGGTCCAGGTGCCAGAGAGAAGCAGGTGCCAGCAGCTGGGGGAAGGAAGGCCTACTTTTGCATGAATTTCCTGCATTGGACCTCTAGTGCATTTATAATGGGTTAGAGTTCAGAAACCAAACACAAAAATCCCCTCAATTTATAGAGTAAAATAGACAAGCATGAAAGAAACTTAACCCATAAGATTTTTAATATAAAAATCACACACTCAGCAGCAGCATATGTTTTCCAAGGCATATACATATATTCGTAAGTCAGGTGATTGAAAGAATATAAAATATTCTTTCCAAGGGTTCAATGAGAGAAAAGGGGATAACACTGAGAACATGAGTTGAAAGAGGCAAGGAAGAAAGTAAAATGAGCAAAGGAAAAAAAGGTTTGCCTTGACCCATGATGATACAATGTCATGATCTGACATGTATGATCAGACATTCTCTGGACTAAATAAAAAAAGTAAAAATGTAGTGTGTCATGTAACAAGCAGAGGTCAGAAACATAAACTGTGAAAGCATTTTGTTTTTAAACTAGGTGTGCCTGGAGTCCACACAGTAGGGGCAGACAGAGGAACCATGCACAGAAACCGACATTTCTGTTCTAACACTTACCACTTCTCAGACCTCAGCGGATCACTTAGCCACACCGCCTCTTAGATTACTTAATCTGAAAAATAGGACAATCATAGTTATCTCCCTGGTGTTTGTGCAGAATCAATAAGACAACACATGATGTGGAATAGTATGAATGTCCAGCAGAAATGTAATTTAGTGAATATGTTTTCTCTTTACCCCAACCCCACACCCTTCCCAGTAATTTTATAGTTGCAACACATCCTATTGGAAGAGATTCTTGGAAAAAACTGAAGCTACTCCTCTAAGTGATTACTATGATACTCACTGATTTTTTTTTTAGCAAATATTCTATTTTTCAGACCTAGCTCTAAATTACACAATCCATGATAAAGCTACTTATGATGGCTAATAGGGCCAATCAAAAAAAAAGAGGAAATGGCAGAAATGTTATAAGTGAAGAACTGCACATTAACTTATTCAGTCTGCATAACCTTGTAAATAATACTTGATGACACTATTAGTTCTGTCATGAAAAAAAAGGCTGATAAATGTTGATGTGATTTTATTTTAGCTTTGCAGTCAGAGCAAGTATATTATCATCTATATATTCTTTATAATTAACGACGGAACTGCTATTTTCTTCCATAATTCAAGCACTAATGGGATTACCCGCTGTTTGACTGATGTGCTTCATCCTCTATACTTTTTCCCTGTTGCGTCCCCACAGTTATGATGCTCAAAATTTATAGTTTACATTCTTCTTGCTGCTGTTTTTCATCCCTGCTCACTACTTATTCATATGCTATGGATAAGAGAGATCTCTGTACGAATGGGCTTTTACACAGATGATTAGCCATGGTGCTCTGAGAACCACCACCTATTTTTACACTATTGATGTATTCCAATAAGACACATGCAACACCACCTAACCTCACAGTGGGTCTTCTTCATAGGAAGTATTAAGCGTATACTCACAGGTGAAGGACTGTTTCATCAGAAGGCAGTTCAAGGTTATGAGTCTGGGGTCACGTTCACGTTCCATGCCAGTCTGGTTATGAGTGAGAACATGACTTTCCACTGATGAGGCTCTGTTGGCATTTGTGGATTTATATTCAGGCTGGAACAGACGTAGCTGCCCTTTTCGTAAGCATTGCCATGACCAAGTGAAAATGACCAGGCAGGGCTGTTATGTTGCAAACACGACACTGGTATCCAGTGTGCCTGAGGAAACACAGGTGCTGTGCAAACAGTTGTCATGGGCTTCTTTTCTCTTCCACTGCCTGATGGGAGCATATGCTGCTCAGCTAAAGAAGTTCAGTGGCAACGATGATCATTCAAATGGTCTTCAAACTAAGCTACGTGTATTTCCTTTAACGGTTTTAAGAGTTAGGGTGTCCTTCTGACAAGAATTAAGTTTAAAGCGCAATGATGTTGGTAACATGGGGTTTTTACAGATAATTTTCCTTCACAGCCTGAGTTAAAAAGTTTTGTTGAATCTTTGTTAGGAACATCAGGTCCTTTCACAGTGTTTTAACTCCAAGAGAACGTTTATTGTCAACCTGGGGCAGGCAGGCAGGAAGAAGAAAGCTGGGTTTAAGACACCCCTCCCCTCTTGCTTCATGAGATCTGAAGAGAGACTTGCCATCTGTCCAGGTTTCACTTTTCAGTATAAAATGCCACTTCAGTATAAAAAGAGCCAATCTTAGTTTTTTTATTGTTTTTTATTTTTTATTTTTTGATGGTTTGGTTGCTTGGTTGGTTGGTTTGCTTTCCCCGCTGACTGCACATTTACATATGTCTTCATGGTAAAACGATAAGCACAGAAGAACATAGGGGAGTTTGAAATGACTTCCTTGCTTTTTTGATAACAGGGATGCTTTATTTTTATTTCCATTGAAATAGAAAATTAATTCCATTATTTAATTTTCTTTTAGAGCCTTCCTTTTACTTGGTTACGGTCCTCACAGGGTATGACAAAAAGCCATGTTTGATTTACAATCCAATACTCTTAGGGTTAGAAGAACCTTAGATATTAGTTGGAGTCCTGCATTTTGCAGATGAGGAATCAGACCTCTGGAGAAGGGAAATGACTTTCTGGGGGCTGATACAGAAGAAAAAGAACTACTGAGTAAGTCAAGAGGCCTGAATTCTACAAGCAGATTTGCATGTAAAATTCAGGCCTCTTGACTTAGTAGTTCTTTTTTCTTCTGTATCAGCCCCTTTTGTTCTCTTCCCTTGTGTAAGGACATTGAGCAGATGTTAACCACAAGCCCTTCCTGTGGACTCCGCGAAGAACTTTCAGGTTGATGAGCTCAAGTGCTTGACAGTGACTATGGCACTATAATTTATCCTGTGACTGCACAGGAGACATCCTGTGAATAATGCTGGAAGCCTCCACAAACTCAACCCTGAGAGGATTGTTAGTGTCTATGGATCCACAGCTCCCAGAGTTTTCATTTGAAATAGACCTGAAAATGTCATTCATACTGTTAAACTAATGCCAGATATGGGTACCATATCATAATTGCTAATCAGGTGTCAGTGAGATCCAGTGCTTTCTTTCATCAGTGTGCTCACCTGTGTATCCCGTTTTGCTCTTCTAGGTTTGTGTGCTGGAGAGGCAAATATTTGACTTCCTTGGATATCAGTGGGCACCTATCCTGGCAAATTTTGTACATATTATTATCGTCATTCTTGGTTTATTTGGAACTATTCAATATAGACCTCGTTACATAAAAGGAGTAAGTATCCTTCCTACCTTTTTCAAATGTTACTGAAATAGAGAAATGTATGAAAATGCCTTCAGATTTATATGCATAACCTCTCCTTAAAGTAAATGTTTGTTTTTATAGTTTCAAATGGCATCTACAATAGCTGAAAATGTCAAGTTTAGAGCATATGACAGTGAATACAATCCAATTGGTTTCATAAAGTGTACTTTCAAATTTTCTTTTGTAATTAAAAGCAGAATTATGCCTCTATGTTTACAAAGTATAAAGTCATAGCCTCTGACAAAATAGATTTAATGGGAATTTTCCCACTTTAAATAATCATATTTTTAAAAATTGAATAAAGATAGTTTAAATTAATACAAATGAATTTATAGTTTCAGTGTGAACATATTACTACAGATTAGGGTTAAAAATTGACATGTTTAAAGCCAGAGAAGTCTGGACCAATATCTCTGTGTTTTCCATGATTTCCTTTCTGGCTCAGAGAAAGTATTTTGCATTCCCACTCAAGTTAAGCTTACTTAACATAAAAGTGAAATCCAACTGTGTTGCAGTTGCTATGGGAACCATACTTAGGATTTTTTTACTTTTGTATGTACCTCAGATCTCAGCTATAGCTCTTCATTAATGTCTTTTTTTCTGTCTCATCATTTTTCCCCTCTGTCTTCTATTTTAACAAAGGAAAAGTCTATAGGCATTTATTTAAAATTATAAAGTGAGTTTGTGGTAAAAGTAGACATAGAAGATAGCACAGGTGAAGCGCTGCCTTATTCAGCACAAGCCAGCAGGTTGTCTGGGTTTTAGGAAGCCCTCCCTCACATAAAAGATGCCTCCTATGACCTGCCCTCTTTGTCATCTGGAACCCAGATAATGCTCCTTGGTTCAGAAATAGGCAATACGATAGCAAGTGGGGCCCAGGCATTCACTGTCTGGTTAAAGATGAGCAAAAAGTTCATAGTCTTTTCAGAGTGCACACCCAGAAATGGAGTGCATGTCGTATCTAAGGCTATGTACCCATGTAAATCTCATAAAAAGACAGATGTGTTCTATTGCAGAGTGAAGTTTTTCACTGCACAGGATATTAATAGTACAGTTCATATTTTAAAATATAAATTGTACTTTGATCCGATATAGGCACACTCTTAGAGGGTTTGGGAGTGAAGTCATAATACCTAGGTTAAAATCTTGCATCTGCCAAACTCTGTGCGACTTTAATATTTTTGCTTATTGATTGAGTTTAGAATGAGAGAGGAAGGAAGGAAGGAAGGAAGGAAGGAAGGAAGAGAGAGAGAGAGAGAGAGAGAGAGAGAGAGAGAGAGAGAGAGAGAGAGAGAGAGAGAGAGAGAGAGAGAAAGAGAGAGAGGGAGGGAGGGAGAGAGACTGACCTTGATTTGTTGTTTTACTTATGTATGCACTCATTGGCTGATTCTTGTGTGTGCCCTGACCCAGGATCAACCCCGCCAATTTGGCCTATTGGGATGATGCTCTAACCCAGTGGGCGGCAAATTTATTAGTCAACAGAGCCAAATATCAACAGTACAACAATTGAAATTTATTTTGAAAGCCACAGTTTTTAAACTTAAACTTCTTCTAACACCACTTCTTCAGAATAGACTCGCCCAGGCCATCGTATTTTTGTGAAAGAGCCATATTCAAGGTGCCAAAGAGCCTCATGTGGCTCACAAGCCACAGTTTGCAGACCAGTGCTGTAAGCGACTGAGCTAAGCTTTGTGTGACCTTAGAGAGCATAACCTCACTGATTCTCAATGTTCCTATCTTTTAAATGAAAGCATTAAATATATTAATTCATATGCTTTAATTAGTTGATGAATTATTAGCCATTATATAAAATATTCTTAACTTTTCTTTTATTAATAAAAGACCTGGAGGTTTATCCATGATTTTATCCTTACAAATCATGCCATTCTGATCATTATACAAATAGATATGTCACCTCCATTTCTGATGAGGTTCTTGGGACAAAAATCTAGGTGTGGATCAAAATGTACAGTTTAAAAACTCGGAGGTTTGTTTTGAGGGATAAATGAGATATTCTATAAAATATCCTTAGCACAAAACTTGGTGTTTAAAAATTTGTCGATAACTGTTAGCTATAACAGTTTGCTCTTTATTGTTATTACTTTAAAATAATACTAAACTATATAGATTAACAATAGGCTGGCAGGCACTTTAAAATAGAGTAAGGTGTCCCAAGCTGTTAGTTGGGCTATTTCTGTCCCTTTTATTCTAAGCTGCTACAACTCTGAAATGTGGTACGTGATTTCTATGTATCAAATTATAATCTCATCCCTGTATATAAAATACATACCCAAAAATCTTTTCAAGATGGGCTGCTCTCTCTGGCATGAAAGGTAAAGCAGGAAGCCGTGGGACATCTTTAAGATTGTTAGAACTTTTGTGTAGCTCAGAAAGCCTGAAATCTTTCTGCGGTCTTAACAAGGTGTCTTAGAGCTACGTCTGTGATTTGATCTTGACTAGCAGACAGCATTTTGAATTTGATCTTTTCTTTGAGACATTGTCTTACTTGGAAAATCTCTTGACAACTGGAGATGCTGTAAATGTGAAACTTTTATTTTCTAAATCAGCAATTCCTGAATTGGAAATATATCCTGTAAATAATACTTGAGAAATGAATTTTTTTTGCTCATTTTTCTCTTAAATATCATGTTATATGTGTTTAAAAAATGACCAGTAACATGGTCAATTCTTTGCTTGAAACCCCCTTCACCTGGTCCACAAGTGTATAAGTAGACTAGAGGCCCAATGCATGAAATTCATGCAAGGGACTCGGCCCTCACAGCCCTGGCTTCATCCAGAAGGACTTCCGGAAGGTTGGTTGGCTGACGGGACTAATTAGCATATTGCACTTTTATTATTATAGATTCTCTGTCTTTCTAGTTACTGCAAGCTCTGGTCAGGCTGTTCTGACAATTATCTTCATGAGTCCTCTTGCCTCTGGCCCTCTAAAACAGCTTCCTGATGTTCTTCCTGTCTCCACCTAGGGTCTCCTTGCTGCCCTTCTGGCCTCCACCTGCCTTCTTGTCTCCAAATTAATGCTGACAAGCATTACTGAGTTTATGTTACAGTACCACTCAAATTTTAGTACCAATTGCTGTTCTAGTTATTAATACCTATTTTTGTATAATTTCTGTATAGCAAACCATTTCTGTATAATACACGGGATCTGATGGCTGTGAAACCATATTGAAAGTCAAAAGTGCAATCAGGAAAATAGATATGAAATTAAGACTTTTCAGTTTCCCTTAAGTGGAAAAAACAACTACTGCTACAATTAAAAGACACTTCAATGGCATCATAGATGACAAAAATTTTGCTCAATGAAGGAACTGGTTTTAGCCTCTTATCAAACAATTTGAAACTTATATGACCAATTCATTGTTCATTCTACCAATTATACTAATGTTATATGTTATACTATATATAATATAATATAAAATACAGTTGCTGTTTTTGTATATATTATGCTATTTCCATATAATTATTATTTAAAAAAATTCCCTACTATCTCCACAAAAATTCCTCATCTTTATTTGTAATTTAATTCCTTGGGAGGAATTTCCTAGATATAATAAAATAATAGGAATAATTTTAAGGCTCTTAATATATAACTGAGAATTGCCTATCCCTAATTATTTTACTAAATTTTCCTCCCACCACTGTACAGCAGAGTCTATTTCACTGCACTCCGACTAACCCTGAATATTATCTGTTCTCACTTTTGTTAATCTGTAGGAGAAGAAAATATATTTTAAATTGCATTTCTTATTTTTCAGAGTTGGGCTTTTTCATATGTTCATTAACCATTTTTATTTCCTTTTGGGGAAGTTATCTTTTTGTGTTCACTGTTCATTTTCCCCCTGGAGTCTTAGTGTTTATCTCTCTATGGATCACATAGAAAATATATTTAATCTTTAAATATTATAAATTTTCATTTGATGTTTATTATTTTTCTCTCATTAAAATTAACTTTCTTTCTCTTTGAGATATCTTGCATTGCTTTAAACATTATAAAATGCACATATTATTTGAAAGTGTAATATTAAGGCTTCAGTATCTTTAGGTCTAAATTTACTAAAACAAAAAGTCAGATATCCTGAAATGGAGTCGAAGAAATGCGTCCCTTTCCACATTTGCTGTTTGTAAAGATTTTTATTTATTGATGCTACATTTTACTCTATCTAACTGAAAAAAACAAGCCCCCAAAAAGCATGTTGGCATCATCTGAAACACGGAACATATTATCAACAAATAAAATGGAGAGAGTATGGTATATTTAAGACTAGAGAAGACATTTAAAAAAATTAAAGCAGTTAATTGGAACAAGAAGCTATTAGTATTCTTTTAGGGCATCTGGCTTTCAAGGAGTATAATATACTGAAGGAAAATGAAATTAATTATTTCAGTTTCAAGCAAAGGAAACATAGAGCCAGAATTCATAGAAAGCATCTAAATTGTGTAATCTCAATAGTATCACTCCCCATCCCCTTGGGGGGGGAAAAAAAGCCCCAATTAACTTTGGTGAAATAACCCATGAATAAACACATACATGGCTCCCATGAAAGCATTACCTTTTGTCATAAGTCATTTCTTTACTTCTTTCTATTTAATGAAGTTAGTTTGAAAGAATAAAAATACCTTATACAGTTTGGATCCATTGGCTTGATCAAAGAAACCCAGTCTCAAAACTAGATATGAATTAAAAATAGCTAAACATGTATTGCTCAAATTTCATAAGAATGTAGAAGAATACAGCATACCAAAATCAAGGTAAAATTTGTAAGAATCATATATTTTATTCTTGCCACTTTTGTTACCCTCCACCTTGATACCTTTCTCTACAAATCCTATAAACCTCACCTGAAATTCACAGCACTTTTGCCTTAGTCCATATGACTGGGAACTGGTAGAGTTAGGATGTGCACCCAGGTCCTCCTAACTGTCAAACCCATGCTCTTAATCACTGTATT